ATTTTTATTTTTTTTTAAAAAAAAATAATGAAAAATTTAAAAAAAATTTGTTAATTTTTTTTAGGGATGGGGTGTGAGGGAGGGGGGGGAGGGTTGATGGGGTTGGGTGAAATTATTTAATTATTTTTTTACATTTTTTTGGGAAGTTGGGGGGCGGGGTGGGTGGTTAGGAGATGGAGTGAAGTGATAAAAAAATTCGTTTTAATTTTAACTTTTAAAGCTTTTAACAAGATCTCTTATATAATATGGATAAATATGTTTATCCATATATCCATTGAGTAACTACTTTTTATCATTTAAAATATGAGTCGAGTCGGGTAACTTAATCATTTTTATTTAACTCATTTTTTGATCGACTCATATTCAATTCGACTCGCTCATTTGATCCTTTGTATGTTTGTTTAAGCTATCTTCAATTCACAACAATGGCTTCTTCACCTTATGATTTCCTCCAACTTGAATTCAGTAATTCAATTTTCATTTTCTTTTGAACTATTTTTATGGAGATTGTGATGTTTTGTATCTATTAGATGCATTGACATGCTTTATTTTAGGCTTGTGTATACACCATCCTCTTAAGACCTCATTGAATATGTTTGTTGATGTTGTCGTTGTTGGAGTCCAGAAGGGTTTTACTTCCAATTTTTCATTTTACTGATCTCGTCTATGTATACTCATGTTCACATTCCTAATTCTATTTCTAATTATCTTGTAATTATATGACTTTGGAAATGACAATCTTTAGAATCAGGATTTTATGAAGGTTGTGAGTAGGTTAAGACTCGTCTAAGGAATCATATTTGTTATATCTAATCATGTGTGATATCAATTTAGGTCTGAGTATTCTACTACTAGAATTTGGCTATTGGAGATGGTTCATGTAACTCTACTATCCAAAGTCGAAAAACTAAGAAAAACAAGAATGTTACGACATTTTTTTGAAATATGAGTTTTCTACTGCCTTATTTTGGCCGACTTTTATTGATCTTTACTTTTGTGACGTGAGGTCTGGTTGGATGTAGCAATTATTTTTTCTTTCTTTCTTGTATTATGATGTTATAGTATTTTAATATAAATCTATTTATCAAAGTATAGAAGTTATTCAATTGTACTTTACCATTTGTTTTATTAAAAGAAAAGACAAAATTACAAATCATAATTCTCCTAGTTTACATGATTTCATTTTACAGATTCATTAATTTGCTTTTGAAATTTTACAATGGTTAGTTTATTTTTATCATCCATATGCATGGTTACATAGTATCTTTAATTAGAGAGTCAAATAAATATTTTACTCAATTTTCTTCTTTGCAAGTTTGTTTGTATAACATTATCAATTAGATATACCAATAAGTAATATGTAGTCATCATGTGTTTTAAAATTAAAATGTTATCTTCCAAAATCAAAATTTCATATGTAATATAGTGATAGTGTTTTGGAACTAAAGTTTTGCACAAACAGAACATTAAGGATCCTTGAAAAGGATGAAAGAGAAGTAAGGGATAATGGAAAAAAGATTCCACAGAAGTACTTTGGTGTGAGAGAATAGTCATCATTATGTATCACATAATTGCAATTAATTTCTAGTTTGAATTATTTCTATTTTTTGTAACTCATGTTAATGTTAACATTATTATGACAACCACAAAAAACCATATCAATTCTTAGGAGTGATCTCTTAGATAAGAAAAGATTTCTTTAGAGAATGTTGTAAATAAATTTATTCATTAAAATATTATTTGTGAATCTGCAGTAGCTGGATTCACATAGAATCTGTTAGAAAATACTTATAGCAATAACTTTACAGAAATAACTTTACAGAAATATAAATATCAAAGTATAAAAATATAATAAAAAACAATAATTAATATCATAAGCATAAATTAATGACCGTAAAAAACATACCTTGATCTGTAACAATAGGATGAAATAGAAAGGAAAAATTGAGCCAATAGAATGCTTAGTGTCTCTTTGAAGGAAATCATTACCCTCTATTACCCGAGGTTTAAAGAAATAGATCCTCTCATGATGAAATGATTTTACAACATTGTAATGATACAAAAACAATAGTGTCACTGAGCCACTCAACATGAGCAAGTACACAAATATTTAATTGTGCAGAAAAAAGAACAAATAGTTCAAAATTTTGTGCTTTTAAAATGTGAGGAAACTCCTTTATTTATAGACAACAAAAGGTAGTATGAACAACTGTTTATTATGCCTTTCTGGAAAGGTCACAACTCTTTGGAAAAGTCACAACTCTTCAGAAAGGTCACAACCTTTCATAAATGTTACACATTTCATAAAAATCACAATTTTTCATAAGTCATAATTTTTTTTATAATAGACACAATTTTTCATGAAAGGTCACAATGCTTATTGTGCCTTACCGGAAATGTCAAAACTCTTCGGAAAAGACAAAACTCTTCAGAATGGTCCCAACCTTTCATAAATTTATAAAATTTCATAAAAGTCGCAACTATTCATAAAACTCACAAATTTTCATAAAAGACACAACTTTTCCTGAAATGTCACAAATACTTATTGTGCCATACTGGAAAAGTCACAACTCTTTGGAAATTTCACAAACTATCATAAATGTTACAACATTTCTAAAATTCATAACTTTTCATTAAAGGAAAAGACTAATTTTGGAAATTAATAAATTTAAAGGGAATTCTTGTTTGTGGTGGTGCCACATAGGAGGCCTAGGGCTCTCTTGTGTGTGTGCGCGTGTGTGTATGCGTGTGCGCGTGTGTGTGCGTGTTCGGGCACTGGCGCGGGCGTTGGCTTCTACATGTGCATGTGCATGTGTGTGTGTGCGCGCACACATGTGTGCGCATGTATGTGTGCGTGCGTGCGTGCGTGTGTCCATTGCATGATGTTGATTAGCGAAACAATAATGCCTTTTCTACCAGCTCCTATGATGGCATAATCTACGTTTGTGAAGTTGGTGAGTCATAGACGAGTCAGAACATTCTCAGGACATCATGTATGCTCCAGTGATGGTATCATATACATTTTCTATTTATCTCTATGATGTATTAAAGATTAACCAGATGATGTTCTAAATAACTCATTGTTTGGCCAAAGTTCAAATCGAATTACTAGTTGAACACTGAATCAGTGCTTGATTGTAACACTGAATGGTTGTTGACTTTAGCACTGCTGAATGAAATCAATGCTCTTGAGCGGGACCCCTCAGGTTCCCTATCAGCTTCATACTTTGAAGATACCATAGTTCTGGTATTTCTATCCTAACCTTCTAAAGCAGCAGCTAAAGGAGACTCTTGCCTCTACATGTTTCAGAAAATTACTTTTTACAGTCTTTTAAGTACCATTGTATTTCTATTTACTTTCTGAATTTATTTATTAGTTGTGTTAATGCGTCTTAGCTTAACCTTTTCCTACACTAAGACTTTGAATATCTATTGTGCTTTTTAAAATAAATTGGTCAATAATTCATTGTTTCAGTCTAGATATGGAGCATGAAACAAGAAGCCTACTTGCATGATTTCGGAGAACATTTCAAAGTCTCTATTTTGGTTCTTTCTTTTTCATTATTGATTTATTTAATCAAATCAGACATCAGCTGCTGACTATTGTGTTTTTAGGAAATATCTACCATCAAATGGAGTCCAACTGGTACTGGTTCAAGCAATACAAATCAAAAGTTGTTGCTGACAAGGTAATCTATGTATTGGTACTAGTCATGTTTATAGTATTCTACTAGCTTTCTGAAGAAACCTCAAAATACATCCTTGCTATGTGGTTTCTGGAAGAGCCAAGGATGGCTACCAAGCCATGGAGTGTAACTCCATCTCATTGAATCAATGAATCATGAGGACATGTTTGAAGATACATACATTTGATATGCCTAATAGTATTTTTGATAACGACTTGTATCTTTTGCACGTAGTAGAGATAAATCTCATTAAGCACAATTATGTATACAAAAGATATTTTTAACATGTTAACAACAACTTTCTGGTATTGTTGTACGTGAATGAATTTAGAATGCTCAATTGCATGCAGATCAATTTACCTTTGCAAGGATAGTTTTTAGTTAAGTCATACTACCCAGTAGTTATACCTCTATTGTTACATGTGCACTTATTTTTACCACTAGTATATGGGCACGTGCGTTGCACGTTTACTTTATAACGATGAATAAAATGATAAACGATTTAACTTTTTTAAAAATGTTTGTAGTGTATAGTAAATTTGAAGAATTTTTTTTTGCATTTAGTCCTCCCTTTATTATAATTTTGATATAGAAATTTTATATTTGTTTTAAAGAACAAAATAAAGTAGCAAAACAAACATGGAGACACACTATCTTATGATTAACTTTCTTAAAATGTCTTTTTTGTCTCATAAAAATGTTGAAATTAAATTAATAATTATACGTTTCAAAAAGATAAAATGTTTGACATTAATTAATAAAAGATGAAATTCTCCTTCTCATTAAATAGAATGCAATTAAGTAATTCAAATTTATAAATAAAAAACGTATCAGAAGGAAATAACTAAGGTTTAAAGTGCAACAATTGGTATTTAAATTGTGTAACTATATAAATAAAATATTAATATACAATTAAATCAATCAGATTTTAATTTAATGGAGAACAAAAATGACAATATTAGTATTATTACAATTAAAAGTTTGTTAAAATATATTTTACTTTTTTTGTTAAAAAATTAATAGGAGCAATATTTGGTCAAAGGATAAAAGATCTTCTAACTTCGTAAGCATTTTGGTCTATCATTTTTTTGACTTTGGGATTTGGATCTCATGATAATTTTAATGAAAATTGTCTAAAAACTATAGATTTTATCCACAAGCAGATGTAAGAATGATTCTTTACAAACATTTTAAAATTTAAAATAAAAAAAAGTAATTTTTAATAATTTGAAATTAGAATATCTTGTAGGCATTATTGTTTTGCATGCCTTGTACACTATTTTTATGATTGTATTTGTCTCATTTTCTAAAGCAAAAAATACACCCTTCAATCAAGTTTATTCTTAAAACAAAATTACAAATAAAAAGAAAAAGTATCATATATAGGAGCATGTTAAGCATAAGGCAACCAACGAAAAATCGAAAATTCAAAGACAATCTTTTCCCTGTTTTTTATTGATAATACAAATTGAAACAAAGTTTTAGTAATAAACATTCAACTTTTGACCATAAAAAAAAATATATTTGGACGACAAGTTAATGGAAGTGATATTCAACTACATAAATGGAGGGGTCTTACCATAGTTCTGATCTCGACAAATAAGTAAAAAAATAAATACATCAGGCTTCGATATTTTAGTAATTTTACATTCATTCCTATAATCAATCACATTATGCCTTGTAATCTTGACACAAATCCTCTTGCTTTAAAATTTTCTTCACTAGATTAATGCTTCTCTAGTTTTCCACACAGGAAACTTGTATCACATATAAATATTTCTATAAAAATAATGTTAAAAGATTTGTATTTATAGGAAAAGATATAGCTTTGGAATATAAAGATTCACTTCCAAAGTTGAAAGGTCAAGTGTTACAAAAATTAAAAACAAATATTAATTAAAAACATAATTAATTTAGAAGATAAACCATATACATGTATCTACTTAAAGGGCAAATAATTTCAAGAAAATAAAGTAAATTAGATATTTTAATTAAAAATTATTCTAAAGAAGTGCAAAAGTCATTAACATTTTTATTAAGATAATGTAACTTAATATTTAAATTAAATAGTTAAATATTTTTAGAACATTTTAATTTATAATAAGGTTAAAATCGTAATTTAACTTTTAACATTTTTGGTTCTCTCTTATAATAATACTAGTCCTTGGGAACGTGCGTTGCACGTTTATTCAATATTATTGAATTATTATATAGAAAAGTCTCAAATAATAATATTTACTTTATCATTTACATCATATTCATTATTATATAGAAAATGCTCAAATAATAATATTTACTTTATCATTTAAATTTGTAATAATTCAGATAATATTACATGTAATAATATGAATATGTTGATATAACATAACCTTAATAATCTCTCATTACACACTTTACACGTAGATCACATATCCAATTTGAAAACAAAAAGAGAAAATTTTAAGAATAAAAATAAAGTTCACTTACAAAGAAACCAATTTACATGAAATAATACCAAAATTTGAATTCTTGGAACATTTTCAAACATCTTCCGGGGATATGTATTCTTTATCTATATCAATTAAAATAAAAACTAAAAAAATATAAAAACTATCGGTGTATAAGAGAGTATATATGTTTATTTTATTCTAATCCATACATAGTGATAAAAATTTATAGAACCCTTCCAAACATTCATTTTCTGTCTATCAATGTTATAACATATGATGACGTTTGTGATCCAAATGCAACACTAATGGTACCATCCCAAATACAATGATACTTTTTTTCTTCTGTACCTAGAAGATCTACTGTAAGTTACCAAAAAAAGAAAAAATAAAGAAACAAAAATGATAAAAGAAAAATGAGAAAATAGTTCTTAATCGGAGAAAATCTGGCATACATTCAAGTAAAATGTTTAAATGAGATTTACAAATTTGGTGTTCTTTAATGTGACTTTAAATAAGAGATTTTAGGTAAGGAAAGCTGAACAGAATCAAATTATTAAAGGTAAGAAGTTGAAGATAATGAAATTATTTAAGTTAAGAAGTTGAAGAGAATGAAATTATTAAAGATAATTTAACCCAAAAAAACTTATCAGATCCATACTTAATTGTGGGAGTATCCTTGGTTTTTATCAATTATAATGGAGGGCAATTGAAGCATTGGCGCAAAGAAGAGTCTATAGGCTTTAATAATAATTGTTAGCATTAATGTAGAATTTTTTATTATTATTATTATTATTATTATTATTATTATTATTATTATTATTATGAAAAGGGTAAAATATTTTTTTTAAAAAGGATAAAATAATAATCCAACTTTTAATTGAGCTCTTCCAACTTTTAACAACTGACGAAAAAATATCATAAACATAATTTTTCCATAATTAAAATAATATTTTATTTTAGAAGAAAATTTTGATTCATATATTTCCCATGTCATATTGAAATAAGTTGTTAAAACGATTATTTTAAAGTATAATTATTTTTTATGTTACTACAACTTCACATAAATGTCATTTAAGTACTTAAACTCCTAGAAATACAACTGATGCATGTATTATAAATTAATGCTAAATGATGCTTTTTTCAAAGGATACAAACTTATTTTGTATTTATTAATAAAATGTTGATTTTTTTGTAATCATCATCCACATAGAAATTTATCAGTCTAATATCATTCACCAGTATTCCTATATTTAATTTATTTGACTAATTTAATACAAGATATTCATCTACTATTGATATATAATTAATTGGATAATTTATAATATTTTAATTTAGTTTAGGTAGTAAAA